CCACAGGCAATGCTCTAACACCTTTGTAACACACACTGTGACGTCAGCACACAGCTCACCTTACAGATGCTCCCATTTAACCCAAAGTTATGTGAGGGGGGGGGATATATTGGAATATTTCCAAAGGGGTAAACTGAGGCTCAGGGAGATGTGGTGGCTTGCTAGGAATCCTGCAGGGCCCCCTCCCCCAGAGCCTGGAGCACGCTGGTCAGCTGCTAACCACTGTATCACGGTCATGAATGCCGGTGGAACCCCGACTTTGATTAGGGATCAGGGAACTGGCTGCCCAAGCTGCCCCGGGTGCTAGGATCTCACAGCTCTGCCATTGAAAGAGATCTCCTTGACCAAGGTCCTGACATTCCCTGAGGGTAGGTCACAGCCCAAGAAGTGTCTATCAGGAGTATAAAAGCCTCGAGGCAAGCTGCAGGGAGGGTGTCCTTGGCCAGCTCAGCTCTAGAACTTCCCTTGAGATGAGGAGCAGACACAAAGGTATCAGAGCTTAACACCTCACTCCCTCAGTCCAAGCCCTCGGCCTCCCCCCACCCCCAGGCTGCCTCGGATATCTGGTCTACCTTCCAGGACCATGCAACCTTTACCCTGAAGCCCCTGTGGCTTTGGCTAAAACAAACAGCTGAAGGTCAGACCTGCACTGGAGAGGCTGTGGACAAACTGGTGTAGAATGAACCAAGGTAAGGAAGCCAGCAAGAGGGCGGGGCTGGGGCTGGGGTGTCATTTGATTGGCAGAGAGCTTGTCTTAGCGTGCATGAGATCCTGGGTTTGATTCCTCAAGGGAAGAGGTGAGGGAACTCCAGGACGACGGGAGGTTTTATCTGAGGGAGGGAGGGAGGGGCTGGAGCACTGCCTGCTCTTGCAGAAGACCTAGGTCTGGTGTCCAGTACCCACATGACAACTCACAACTGTCTGTAACTCCAGGGGAATCTGACACCCTCTTCTAACCTCCACGGGCACCGGGCACATGCATGCTACACAGACATACGTGCTGGCAAACACTCATATACATAAAACAAAACGAAGTAGATCTTAAAAAAAGGAAAGAGGGACAGGACAGAGCCTGAATTTCCAGCACAGAGGGAACAACAGTCCCCAGCAGTGGCCACTGGGTGTGATAAATGGACCGGATCTGAGAACGACCAGGGATCCCAGGCTGGGGGCAGGAGATGCCAGTACGTTAGTCTGGAAGTCATTCTCCAGCTTGGGACTAGCCTGCTGGGACGCTCACTCTGGCTCCCCAGGTCACTGACCCCCGTGGCATCTGAGTCAAACGCTGATCCTTCCCTCACTTCGAGGCTATAGGGATGAGAGGCTTGGACAAAGGGTGACGGAACATTGGGTCAGACACAGCAAACACTGTCCTGGTTGCTCCAGGTTCTTGCTCAGAGGTGAGCAAAGGGTGGAGCTTGACGGGTGGACGCAGGGGCTGCTGGGAGCTGAGCCGAGACGTACTCCCCTGCTGCTGAACCCCAGGCCTCTAGCTGGCCAGAGGGTAGCGTTGCTCCAGAGTTAGGTAACGACTGGAACGTTGCCAACACACGGTGTGAAGTCAGCCAGGGGCAGTTACCGCTGTTGGGTGATGTGGTAAGGACTCCCACGTGGCTCTGCAGGCCTGGCCACGCCACAGCAGGCGGCACAGACTCAGCCGGACCCGTGGCAGCCTCTGTGCTCCCTGTAAATGTCCACAGCTGCTCCGCCAGGCACAGGGAGACCTGGCTGCTCCCTCTCCTCCCCTGCACTCCCTTCCTGGGGCCTGTGTTCACCAAGCCCCTCCTCCCCTGCTCTTTAAAGCACTCCAAACCCTGGCCCAACATAGCCTCCACAGTCTTTACTTTGGTCCTCGGGCCGGCCTATCCTCCCTCACACTTGAACCAGCTGGATCTGCTGCAGTTCATGCCCTTTGACCTGCCCGCTAAGGACGAGGCCAGGGGCTGGCGTGGTTATTCCAGGGCAACGAAGAGAGCCTGGTACACAGTGGGTGCTCAGTAAATGCCAGCCGGATGACCGCATGCTCGAGGCGACCATGCGACAGGAGTAAGAACAGTCACAGGCAGGCCTGCCTACCAGGCTTTGCCCCCAACCTTTTATACAGATTTATTCATTTGCTGCTCACATTCATGCTACGGGCCAGGAGCCATCCCCCAATTTTATATGAAAGTAACTTGCCAAAGGTCACACGGGCTGTACACAGCAGAAGCAGGGCTCAGCTGTGCAGAAACCAGGTTCAGTGGCGCCAGACACCAAATCTTTGTGTTCACTTGGTTAAGCCGGAGCCACCAAGACGAAGGTCGGCCTGAGGTCAGACAGGCCTTCGCTGACAACTGGCCTCTGGTTTGTTGTGACTTCAGCGAGAGGCTCCTTGAATGCTCCTGTCAAAGATAACCCTTGGGGCCAGTGTGCAGGCTCAGTGGAGACAGCGGACTCCTACCAGGCCATTTTGGCTTGCACACATATACACACACACTCCTTTTTTTCAAAGAGAGGAACAGGTTGTAGTACATGCAGGTCCTGGGCAGGTCTGAGCCTGGGGTGGGTACAGGACTACCAGCTTTGGGCTCCTCCCCTCTCTCAGGCTCCCTTTTCAGGCCTTAACACCCCCTCTGGGGGCAGAAGCCTTCCAAACAACTGCAGCCTCAGGGGGCTGTGCCTTGGGGCTTGCCCGCAGGCTGGAGTGTGGGGACCAGGCAGTCAGGACTCAGGCCCCCACCAACGCCTCCTCTACCTTTGTCTGGGCTTCTGAAGAGACTTTTCAATGGGAGGGAAAGTTCTGCTGTTCAAATAACTTTAGAAAGCCAATGCCCTGAGGGATGGATGTCCTTGTCTTACAAAGTACCCTGCTTGAGTCTATCTGAATGACATTCAGGGGCTCCAAAGTAGTCAGTTCTCTCTCTCTCTCTCTCTCTGTCTCTCTCTCTGTCTCTCTCTGTCTCTCTCTGTCTCTGTCTCTGTCTCTCTCTCTCTCTCTCTCTCTCTCTCTCTCTCTCTCTCTCTCTCTCTCTCCCTCTCTCTCTCCTCTCTCGGGAGAGACAGGAGGGTGACCTAGCCGAGCCCAATGTCAAGGCTGCTGACCTCACCGCAGCGCCTGGTCTTCTGTCCTCACACCTATTTTGCATAGTCTCCCCTCTCTCCATTTATTTGCCCACCTGTTTTTCTCTGGACTAGAACAACCTACAAGGGGCCGGGATGTGACTCAGTCGGTAGAGCATCTAGCGGACATGAAGCCCCGGGTTCATGTCAGTAAACTGGGCAAGGTGGCGGATGCCAGCACTTGAGAGGTGGAGGCAGGAAGACCGGGGTCATCTTCAGCTACAAACTGGGTTAAAGAGCAGCCTGAAGTGGGGGGGGGGTGCACACCTTCTAACCCAGCACTCCGGAGGCAGAGGCGGGCGGATCTCTGTGAGTTCAAGGCCAGCCTGGTCTACAGAGCGAGCTCCAGCATAGCCAGGCCAGTTGCAGAGAGAAACCCTGTCTCTAAAACAAAACAAAACCAGCTTGAGCTATGGAGGCTCCCACATGCACACACAACCAGCCATAGCCACACACTCGTGACCAGACACATACAAAAACACGCATCCATCCATGCACACACATATGAAAAATGTTGTCTGACAAGCGGCCTGAGACCCTCACCACAGACCTGTCGGGTATTAGTCCCATCGTAGGGACGGGGAAGCGGGGCTCGCAGTGGAGAAAAGATCCATCCAAGGACTCCAGTCCAGGCTGGTCGGACTCCAGAATACCCTTTCCCCTGGGGCTTGTCTCCCAGCTCTCACTCCTGCCTCCCCTCCCTCCTTACCTTCACCCAAGTAAGCACTTCCCACGCACAGGCAGGCCCAGCTGGCTTACCCACAATGCATCGGTCTCAGCGGCCTCACCTCTGTAAACCATGTTTCCTCTGCTCCTCGGTCCTCCCCCCCTCGCCCCCCAGGTCCTCCATACCTTTCCTGTGGGGGGGACAGGGGTTGGGTTTTTGAGACAGGGTCTCATTATTTAGCCCTGGCTGGTCTGGAACTCACCACGAGATTGGCATTAGTAATCCTCCTGCCTCAGATCCCTGTCTGCTATGACTCCAGGTGTGAGTCACCGTGAGGTGTGTGTGTGTGTGTGTGTGACGGAGGGGGGGGTGGTCTTGCCTTGCAGCCGGGGTAGCCTTAAACCTGTCATCTTCCCCCTCATCTCCAGTGCTCAGACAACAGGTGAGGGTTAGGGTTAGGGTTAGGGTTAGGGTTAGGTTAGGTTAGGGTGAGGGTGAGGGTTAGGGTTAGGGTGAGGGTTAGGGTTAGGCTAGGGTTAAGGTTAGGATTAGGCTAGGGTTAGGGTTAGGGTTAGGTTAGGGTTAGGGTCAGGGTCAGGGTCAGGGTTAGGGTTAGGGTTAGGCTCGTCTCTTTGGGGAAGCCCTGAGTGCTGAGTCAGGGGTCTGCTCTAGGCCTCTCCTACGAGCCTGCTGCATCAGAAACCACCGTGGTCACTTGCTTCCTGTACGCTAAAAACTGGATCCAGCACACGGCAGGTGCAGCAGACACTTCCGGAGGAAAGGTGAAAGTGGGCAGACAGCTCTGGTTTTTTTGTTTTTTTCTTTAGCTGGTTTTGAAACAAGGCCTGGGGCGACATAACCCTGGCTGGCCTCGAACTTGCAATGGAGTGAAGAAAGACCCTGAACCCTCCTCTCAGGTGCTGGGATTGCATTCATGCACCACCACGCCTGGTTTACATGGATTGGACTCAGAGTCTCAGGCACCAACTGCGCCGCATCCCCTGCCCCAGAAGACAACTCTCGGGCCTGAAGTACGCCCGGGCTCCCGGATGGTGCTGGCCAGAGAGCAGCCCTGCTCTTGGCCTTGCTTCCTGACTCCTAACCCCCGCCACAGCCATCCACTCATCAAACCTCAACAGGGAGGCGGCCATGCCACGCCTTCCCTGCCAGCTCCCTTTGTGATGACCCAGCCCCGCCCTCCTGCCCTCCTCCCCCAGCCCCCTGCCAGCCGTACCCGGTTGATGAGCTCGCCGACCATGCCTGTCCAGGAGCCATTGGGCTCAGGCGCCCCGTAGAGTCCGTCTTCTACCAACCGCAGGCGGTACCGGAAGCGCAGCAGCTCGGCCAGCTCCCGAAGCATGTCCACGCAGAAGCCTTCGAAGCGCTCGTTCCCCGACAAGGCCTGAAAGTTGGGCCTGCGCATGACATACGGGTTCTCCTGGATGGGCAAGAGAGAGCGGGGGTCAGAGACTGAGAGAGCCCGGGGGCTGAGCCAGGGGCCCGGGGCCAAGAGGGATGGGTGACAGACCCCTGGCATGTTGTTCCCTTTTCTGTTTGTTATTGTGTGCATATGACATGAGTGGACAAGAGCGTGGGGGAGCAGGGGACAACTCCGGGTGTCATTCATTCCTCAGGAGCCTCATCTTTCTTTCTTTTCTTTTGGCTTTTTGAGACAGGGTTTCTCTGTGACTTTGGAGCCTGTCCTAGAACTAGCTCTTGTAGACCAGGCTGGTCTTGAACTCACAGAGATCCACCTGCCTCTGCCTCCCGAGTGCTGGGATTAAAGGCGTGCGCCACCAACACTGGGCCTTTCTTTTTCTTTTCTTTTTTTTTTTCTTTTTTCTTTCTTTTTTTTTTTTTTTTTTTTTGGTTTTTTGAGACAGGGTTTCTCTGTGGCTTTGGAGGCTGTCCTGGAACTGGCTTGGTAGTCCAGGCTGGTCTCGAACTTACAGAGATCCGCCTGCCTCTGCCTCCCAAGTGTTGGGATTAAAGGCGTGCGCCACCAACGCCCGGCTTTTTTCTTCTTTTTGATTCTATTTTATATGTATGATGTTTTGCCTGCATGTGTGTCTGCGTACGATGTGTGTACGTGCCTGCTGCCGGTGAAGGCAAGAAAGTCGTACTGGGTCCTCTGGAACTCAGGTGGTTGTGAGCCACCATGTAGGTGCTGGGAACTGAACCCGTCCTTGTAACCGCTGAGCGATCTCTCCAGCCCTCCCATACCTTGTTTTGTGACTCTCATTGGCCCAGAATAGGCAGAGTAAACTGGACAGACAAGCCAGCAACCCCGTGATCTGCCCGACTCTGCCTCCCGGGCATTAGGGTTACAAGAAAGACTGAGCTGTCTCCCTAGACCTGTTTGTTAGCTTTGGAGACTTGGTCTCATGTCACCCAGGCTGTATCAACGTATAGACAAGAGCAGCCTTGAACTGCTGATCCCGTGGTCTCTGCCCAAGGGCTTGAATTACGAGTATGTGGGACCACACCTGTAATGCACATACTCTTCACTTAGATATACTGGCCGGGAGGCAGAGGCAGGCGGATCTCTGTGAGTTCGAGGCCAGCACTGATCTACATAGTGAGTTCCAGGATGTGCTCCAAAGCTAAAGAGAAACCCTGTCTCGAAAAACAAAAAAAGGAAGGAAGGAAAGAAGAAAGGAAGGAAGGAAGGAAGGAAGGAAGGAAGGAAGGAAGGAAGGAAGGAAGGAAGGAAGGATGGCTGCCATCGGAGAACAGGCCTGAAAGCTGAGGGGTTTGGGGATGCATGCATGGGCTCTGGTGGCCCCTTATCAGATCACAGGGGAACATGTGACTCTCCACAGCCAAGCCAGAGTTCACTGGGCTCCAGCCATAAATTCCTAGGAGAAAGGTGTGTGTGTATGGGCGGGGCATTGGAGGGACTCAGACTGGAATGGCATTAAGTTAGAAAGGAGTTGTCAAGGTCCCCTTCAGACACACCTTCCCCAAATCATCCTGCAGCGGAGCCTGTCCAATTCCACCAGATAGCCCTTGCTCTCTGACTGTTGTGGCAAACATGGTGGGTGGTTTCAATTTAGAGTTCTACACCCCCCTTCCCCCACACAGCCAGTAGTGACTCACTAAACCAACTTTACGAGCCACCAATGTGTCCCAAGAGAGTATCCCTCACCAGGATTTCACTCTAGCCCGAGCTGCCACGAGGCAGGCAGGCATGACATGCCAGATGGTGAAATTGCAGGAGAATTTGGAAGCCTGGATTGTTCTGTAAAATCCCCTGATTATGAATGCTAGCAACTCATTCAAATTCTAATACCCCCTCTTTTTTTTTTCTTTCTTTCTTTAGGCCACATGAACACACCTGCTAGTATGCAATCTCTGGCCTTTTGCTGCGCGGATGGTCTTTTGTAGGTGTTGTTTTAAGATATTAAAATGTTACGCATATGGATGTTTTGCCTGCCCGTACATCTGTGTACCGCATGCTTGCCTGGCACCCAAAGAAGCCAGACGAAGGCACTGGATCTCCTGGAGCTGGAGTTGTGGATGATTGTGAGACACCACGTGGGTGCGGGCAACCAAACTCAGGTCTTCTGCAAAAACAGTCAGTGCTCTTGGTTTGGTTTTTTTTGTTTTTGTTTTTTGTTTTTTTTTTTTTTTTGGTTTTTGGAGACAGGGTTTCTCTGTGGCTTTGGAGGCTGTCCTGGAACTCAACTCTGTAGACCAGACTGGCCTCGAACTCACGGAGATCCGCCTGCCTCTGCCTCCCGAGTGCTGGGATTAAAGGCGTGCGCCACCAACACCCGGCCTGGTTTGGTTTTTTTTAAAGCAAGGTCTCACTCACTATGTAGACCAGGCTAGCCTCAAACTCACAGAGATCCGCCTGCCTCTGCCACCTGCGAACTGGGATTAAAGACCTCAAAGTCACAATCTTACGGTCTCAGGTCTCTCGGTGCTGGGGTTATAGACACATGTGTCACTGTCAGTGTCTACACTGAAGATATCTTTTGAGGGTGTAGACTTGGAGGCAGAGAGCCTTCTGGAATATCAGCAGAGCAAGGGTGTCCGGAGGCCATCAGGATAAAAATGTAATTTATCTCAGCAGAGGTTGCCTAAATGCGTGGCAGGACAATGTCCCTTTACACAAAAGAATTTAGGACTCAGAAAATACCCAAGAGATAACTCATTGGTAATAACATCCATGATGTTTACCATGAGATAGGCCCCTCCCTCCTTCCCTATCCTGTGTGCAATCTTTAGATTACTTGACTTGAAAAGTTATTTATCATTAGCCGGGTAGTGGTGTCACACACCTTTAATCCTAGTACCTGGGAGGCAGAGGCAGGAGGATGTCTGTGAGTTCAAGTGTGTGTGTGTGTGTGTGTGTGTGTGTGTGTGTGTGTGTGTGTGTACACAATGGAGGAGTATATGTGGGTTCCGGGGATCAAACTCGGGTCATTGGGCTTTATAGAAAGTGCCTTTGACTACTGAGTCCTCTCACTGACCCCAGATTATTTGGCTGTAAATCTTCACAGAAGTCTATAATAAAAGGAGTAGTTTTAGACTTTTTTTTTTCTTTGTAAAGCTGGACCTTTGAATCTAGGACCTGGGCATGCTAGGCAGGGGCTCTACCACTGAGCCACACCCCCAGCCCCTTACTGGGGAATTCTAGGCAGGGGCTCTACCACTGAGCCACACCCCCAGCCCCTCACTGGGGGATTCTAGGCAGGGGCTCTACCACTGAGTCACACCCCCAGCCCCTCACTGGGGGATTCTAGGCAGGGGCTCTACCACTGAGCCACACCCCCAGCCCCTCACTGGGGGATTCTAGGCAGGGGCTCTACCACTGAGTCACACCCGTAGCCCCTCACTGGAAGATTCTAGGCAGGGGCTCTACCACTGAGCCACACTGTCAGCTCCTCACTAGGGATTCTAGATAAGCTCTCTACTACTGAGAGCTTAAGTTTCCAGATTGATCCTGAAGTCACACTGAGGACCAGACCAGCACTGAATGTGGGGTTCTCCTGCCTCTCGTCTCCCAGACAGCTGGGATGAAAGGCCTGTTTTTGTTTTTTGGTTTTTTTGCGCACGTGTACCGTAATTCAGAGAGAGCGGAGGCAGAATCGGCTTCCTACTCAGTCGCCCACTCCTTGTGGTAGCTGGCTGTGTGAGTTGCCTTGACAGGAAGAGGTAGGAATCAAGCTGGCTGAATTCTAGAGACCCAGCCTTCAGAGCAGTTCTGAGACCTCCACGTAAGTAAGCCCAGGCTAGCTCACTGGAAGGCAGGTGGACCAGGGATGGGAAGCCAAAAGGAGCATCCCCGGACATTCTGGGCTTCCCGTACTTGTTGGCTACTAGACGGATCTAGCCAGGGTGACAAGATGAGAGCCCCCGATCTCGGGAAGCAACAGTTTTAGTCTGAGTTTCGGGGGAGTTTGCAAAAAGCCACAGACAACTGTTCTTCCGGGAGGCCAGGTTACACCACAGGCCTTGCGCTCTCAGGCCAGACAAAGCTGAGGAACACATGGGACAGAGTGAGCGGGAGCTGCTCTCCCTCCCAAGCCGCTCGTTCAAATCCAAAACTGTGGGAGCGGGGATGGGAACGTGGGATAACACTAATAATAGCGGGGCGCTAGTGCTTCTTGTGGGCTGGCGGTGTGCCAGCGCTGTCAGCGTGGGCGGGTGGTATTATTACCTCTGCCTCACAGCTGAGGACACGCAGGGCCAGAGGAGCGAAGCCGTAAGTCAGCGCGACTCCAAAGGCCCAAAGCTCGCTCTGCTCTTTAAGCCTATGCAGACTGAGCTCAGGTGGGCAGAGTGGGGGCGTGGACGTGGGAGAAGCCGGGCAGAGGTGGGGGGATTGTGCTGCGGCCGGGATTCTGCTGCCACGTCAACACAGGGGAGGGAGGACACAGATTAGGGGTCAATCGCGTCAGGACCAAGGCCACCAGCCAAAGTAACGCAAGGGCAGGAGAGAGCAAAGGGCTGAGACCGACCAGGCTGCACATACCAAAGCCCTGCTACCTCCCGTGTGCCAAGCCGACCTCCAAACCAGAGGCTGAGGGGCGAGGCAGAGGCAGGCGGATCTCTGTGAGTTCGAGGCCACCCTGGTCTGCAAGAGCCAGTTCCAGAATAGCCTCAAAGCCACAGAGAAACCCTGTCTCAAAAACAAACAAAAAAGACTGAGGGGTCTGGGCTCGGGGTCTGTCCACAGCGATCTGAGCTTAGCGAGATGATGGAGAAAAGGACCTAACACAGAACTCGGGCTAAAAGTCAGGACACACAACTTCAACATACAACGTGGGCCCTCAACTAAAGAGTCAAAGCTCCCTTTTTCCCCCTGCCCTTTTTTTTTTTTTTTGCCATATTAAGGGCTGAACCCAAGGCTCCCACTGAGCAATGGCTCCCACACTATTTGTTTGAGACAGGTCCCCACTAAACTGCCCGGGCTGGCCTTAAAACCCT